GGAGAGAGGAGGGGAGAGGCACACCCCCGCCAGCCGCGCCCGCAGCGCCGCGTGGTCCACGCGAGAGCCATTCATGGAGTAGGCGAAGCCGGACAGCTGCGCGCACGCCGTGGCGTACGAGAGGTCAAAGCCGGCGGGCAGGGCGGGCACCACGTAGCGGCGGCTGCTCGTCTCCTTCCCCTCCTCGCCGCCGCCCTCCTCCTCGCCGCCGCCCTCCCCCGCCACAGCCGGCCCGCCGCCAGCAGCGACGCCGGGAGAAGCAACTGCAAGCAGCACGGCGCCTAGCATGCCCGCAGCCGCCACCGGGGCGCGCGGGAAGGACTCGGGCGCCGCGTCGCCGTCGAAGCAGTCCGCCGGCTCGGAGAGCGGCGTCAGCTGCGAGAGCGGCGAGAGGTGCGCGCGTAGCCGCTGCAGCCTGGCAGCTTGCCCGGCCGGCAAGCCGAACCCGGGCGGCGAGGCGGCGGGCATCGACCATGCAGTCGCCTCGAGCTGCTCGCCAACCTAGCACACGGCCCACGGGGCTGAAGCCACACTGGATTCGAGACTCTGGGGGTATGGTGCCGCGCGGCTCGCCAACCTCCGCCGCCACCTCTCCGACCCACGAGGCGGACCCCGCGCGGCGCAGCGCGGCGGAGCCTGCGATCGCCCCTGCGCCCGCCTGCGGGCAACTCGTGAGCGCCCTCACGCACGAGCGACCCGGCGCCCTTGGTGTGTCGGAGGTGTGTCGGAGGTGTGTCGGAGGTGTGTCGGAGGTGTCTCAGAGGTGTCTCGGAGGTGTGTCGGAGGTGTGTCGGAGGTGTGTCGGAGGTGTCTCAGAGGTGTCTCGGAGGTGTCTCGGAGGTGTCTCGGAGGTGTCTCGGAGGTGTCTCTGGCCTTGAGCGACCCGGCGCCCTTGAGCAGGGATGCGCCGTGCAGCACAGTCTCGAGGTTGAGATCGAGGGCGGCGTAGTCGAAGACGGCCCCCGCCTCCCTCCCGAGGAACATCGCCGCCGACGACGCGCCCTCTGCCGCGGCGACAAGCTCGCCGATGTCCAACGCCATCGCCGCGCCGCCGCCACTCCGCCTCCATCCGCCGCCGCCGCCGAGCGCCGCCGGGCGCGCCGCGCCGCCGAGTGGTCCGGACGGCGCCGCGCCGCGCGAGAAGCCTCTCGCCAGGGCGAGGGCGGCGGCGGCGGCGGCGGCGAACGTGACCACGCGCAGCAGGAGGAAGAGGAGGACGGCGGCGCGCGACGAGCGCTTGGCCGTCCTCGGGCTGACGGCGAGGCTGCTGCCGCGCACGCCCACCTTGAGCTTGACCGTCTTCCTCCGCATGCCGGGCGACACGCCCGCTCCCGGCGACGCCGGCCACGACGCGGACGGCGCCCGCACCATCCGCTGCAGGTTCTGCTCCGAGATGCTGAGGTTGAGCGCAAAGCTCAGGTCAGAGTCGGTGCGGCTGATCGACATGGTCGGCCAGCGTAGCGGCGAGGACAGCTCTTCTGGACCGTCGTCCGCGATGGACAGGCTCAACCTGCTCGAGCGGCGACGGCCACCCCAGGAAGGGACGGGCAGGGCTGCAGCGAAGAGCTCGTGCCACCTAGACTGGCGGGCGACGTAGGACCGGCCTGCGCGCTGCAGCCGGATTGCAGCTTCGGCCTTGGCATCCGCCTTGGCATCGGGAGGTGCAAACGTGGACTCCTCCTCCTCCACGAGGTCGCGGAGGGACGGCGAGGAGCAGCGTGCGGCCATGGAAGGAAAGGAGGCTTGTATCGACGAAGCGACGAATCGCGACAACTTCTCTCGAGGTCTCGAGGTTCTCGAGGTGGATATCCTTTGGCCGCGTGAGAGAGAGAGAGAGTTTGTATTCTTTAATATTAACCTTGCGAACTCGTCCCCCCCGGCAGGGCTATGCAACTGTGACCAGTGTGTGCTGTCTACGCCTGAACCAGGTGTCAAATCTGCCGATGCGTGACCTGTGCGTGGGCTGCTCTGTGAGGGGTCCAGGCGTAGTCCGACGGGTAGGGGGTCTGTGCCCGGGCGGTGTCCGGTGCGGAGTCTCTCTCTGATCCTGCCTGGGATGTTGGGTGCGAGGTGTGGCGGCTTCGATCCCAAGGGGGGGAGCTGATCCCACTCGGTAACCAACTCTCAGGGGCAGTAGGTGGGCGAGCTTCAAGCGCGCTCATCTCGATCGTCAAGGCGTCGCTACGCGCGGTCTTCCGCGGGGGGAGCTTCGTCGACGGGTGCGGGACCGCGGCGCAGACAGTGCTGCGGCGATGCCTCCGGCTGCTGCGGAGAGTGGCTTGCTGCTCGCTGCGATGGCGAAGAACTCGTCTCGTCACACGCCAAGGGCTTATGCTCTGTCGAGACGTGAGGCGTATGCGCCCAGGAGGGGAGGGCGCATGCGTAACGACGCTGCTAGAGATGCCTTTCGGGGCCCAGAGATAAAACTTCTGATGCCATGCGTGACCTAGTAGTGTCCCCAGCTATGGGCGTGTCCACGTTGGAGCCAGGTGTGGTGTGGACGCGAGAATAGCTCCGCCGTTCATGGAGGCAACCGATGCGAGTCGACTGGTGTGTGTCGTCGTGGTTTCGTATCAAGAATTCTCTCTCTCTTTGGCCGCGTTGGGTAGCGAGGATTGGTGTGACGCGATCCACGCAGGCGTGTTTTCTGGCGGCCGACCGTCAGTGGTATGGACGAAGCAAGCGACGAATTTCTCTCGAGGTGAGAGAGAGAGAGAGAGAGAGAGAGAGAGAGAGAGTCTCGTCACACGCCAAGGGCTTATGCTCTGTCGAGACGTGAGGCGTATGCGCCCAGGAGGGGAGGGCGCATGCGTAACGACGCTGCTAGAGATGCCTTTCGGGGCCCAGAGATAAAACTTCTGTGATGCCATGCGTGACCTAGTAGTGTCCCCAGCTATGGGCGTGTCCACGTTGGAGCCAGGTGTGGTGTGGACGCGAGAATAGCTCCGCCGTTCATGGAGGCAACCGATGCGAGTCGACTGGTGTGTGTCGTCGTGGTTTCGTATCAAGAATTCTCTCTCTCTCTCTCTCTCGAGGTCTCTCCCCCCCCCGTGAGTGTGTGTGACTCACTCCCCCCCGTCAGGCAGGGTTCGGAATCGGAGGCGGTTGTCGAGGGTTGGCAGCCCTCCGGCGCCCCCGAGTACGCAGCGCGCCCTCTCCCCCCATGACGGGCATCGGTGAGGCCGGCGACTCGGCGAGCAACCTGGCGGGGAGGCAAGGACCAAGGAAGGTGCTGTGGCCGCCGCAATTGACAGCCGTGGTGGGCGCAGGCGTCGGCGCAGGTGGGTAGACGTCGCGTTTGCCGTTGCGCGGCCCGGGCGACGAGAAGCTCTGCCCGACGAGGCCTGCGAGAGGCCACTTCAAGTGGGTGGGGTGTGGTGGGGTGGGGTGGGTTGGGGGGGGGGGGGGGAATGGGACGGAAGAAAACGCTGAGCGATGAATGTGCCAGGCGAGTGTGCGAAGCACGCGTCAAGGATGGGCAGGCCGCAAGCGGTGGCAGTGCGCGGCGACGCGAGGGGCTCGCCGCGCCGTCGTGCGTCTGCCCGAGCGTTAAAACGCCTCGGCTCAAACTCGAGATTCAGTTTGGGTTTGGGGCTTGGAAAATGAATGTTTTAGTGGACCATTTCACCCACTACTGAGCGCTGTGGTCGCCGCAGACTGGCTCCAACTTGACGGCGGCATGGAGACGTGATGCCTCCATGCCGCCGTCAAGTCGAAATCGACATGCAGCTCGATGGTTTGCCCGAAAAGGTACATCGCGGCGTTTGGCGACAAAACAGCGCTGCGACCGCGAAGACCGAAGTGGCGGTGGACATGCTCCCATGTTGCCGACGCGGCGCCGGAGTGGCCGGCGCTGCTCGCCGTGACCACGACGGCTACTCTGATACTCCGGGCCGACCCGTCCTACCCGACGGTGGCACTCTTCCACGTCTCGCTCACGCTGAGAAAAATTCTGAAACGGCGTGCAGCAGAGTCACCGACGAGTCGGTCCGCGTGCCTCCTCGTGTCCCGTACCGTTCTCACACATCGATAAACTCACTTTGGCCTCACTGAAGCGATGCCTGAATCCTGAATCCTCAGATTTTAGATTAGGACGCTGCGCACCCTCTAGTAGGACGATGCGGAAAAAATAATATCTGCAGGGACCCGTTACATCGCACGCGCCCCTCATCCTCATGGCCCTGCTCATGCGTGCGTGTCCGGCTGCGGCAGACTGACTGCCATCACGCATCAGGCCCGGTGACAATAACGACCAATGTCAGAGTGGCACCATGGAGCTCGCGCTCCCGCGGCTTAATCAGCGTGCTTTTAACCCCTTCCCAGCTGGCGCTCGAGGCGAGGTGGCACCTCGCACTCAGCCACGGCCTCCCGCACCAGCGAGTCAAGCTCTCGCAGCTTGTACAGCTGCAGCTCCTTGTCCGACTGATTGGTCACGGTGACGTCCGGGCTCGCGAGCGTCTCGATCGCCTCGTCCACGCTTCGGCCTGATTAGGTAGACGGAAACATGTCAGCGACCAACCGGGGCTGCGGTGCGATAGCACACCAAAGCCGCCGGGCCACCAAAGAGCGCCTGCCCACATTCGGATGAGCTCGCTCGCCATCACCTCCGTGGCCTGGAGGATGGGCATCACGGTACAGCGGCGCCGCGCCGCAGGAGCAGGGCGGAGGCCCTCGACGGACGCCTCCTGCATGGAACACCACGCCTCGAACTGGGTCCTATGGCATGAACTAGCGCCTGTGGCAGGGCTCTAGATTGCGCAGGAGCCATGATGCAGCTTATCAGACCAGAAGCGCGAGAGGTAGGACAGCTCCTGCAGGATGAGGACGGAGCAGCCGAGGTAGAGGATGTTTATGTTCTGCAGCATCCTCTTGAAGTCGACTTTCTCGGTGGGGGTGCGTTCTCCACCCTGCGGCATGCACCTGCAGCAGACGGGACGAGGTTGCAGAATGGATTGGATGTGTCTGCGGGTGCCTGGTGGGATCACTCACCAGAAATCATACCAAACGAGCTTGATCGAGGGGCAGTCCTGAAGGTGCTCACGGATGGCTTGGAGCTGGACCCCACTCGCGTCGGGCGCGTCGGGCTGCTCCCAACGATGGCTGACGGCCAGGATCTCTTCGCGGTAGGCGTGCCGGCCATAGGCCAAGTGGCGCTGCAGCAGCTGCTTCTGCATCCACTCCGGATGCTTCGCCTCTAGCTCCTGCAGCCGCGGCAGGGTGGCGTAACCGGCTGCCTCGTAGCGACCGGATCGGATCACCTCGGCATCGAGAAAGACGAAGGTGCACTGGGCGCCCTGCATCTCGAGGGCGGCGTCTTTAAGCGCTTGGTTGGCCTCAGCCAGCTGGCTCTGCACCAGTCGGGTGTGCTTGGCATCCGCAAAGAGCCTGCGCACCCGACGGTAGAGCCGCAAACCAAGCGGTATCAGAACGATGAGGCTGGCGCCGGCGGCACCAGCGGCCGCCCAGATCCACCAAGTAGCGTCCGCCTCGTTGGGCTCGGGCGGCCCCAGCGGCTGCGGGTTCTTCACGGGGCCTGGCTGGCCGAAGGAGTAGACTAGGTTGTGGCCGTTGGCATCGTACCACTCACTCCATTCCGGCACCACGACCCAGTCTTTCCCGTCGTACCAGTCGAAGCGGTCAGCGGCGAAGTCGTACCGTGCCAGCGACTCCCGCTCGAACTTGCCGCCGACCAGCAGCTCGTTCTGCACCTCAAAGTTGGCGGTACTCTTGTCGCGGCTACCGAACCGGTTGAACTCGATAGTGCCCGTGGTGCCGTGGAACCTCAGGCCGTCCGTCACGTTGGTCATGTTCTGCCACCCCAAGGTTCCGAAGTCGGTCGGCAGGGGCCCTGAGGGCGCCACCTCGCACGCTAGCAAGCCCAACGCAGCGATCGCGTCGTAGCGTAGGCGTAGGCGGCAGCGTCGCGGGCCTCGCTCGAAGACATCAGCGCGTCGTCGTTGAAGAAATCGGCCGGCAGCTGCCACTCCGACGGCAGCAGCTCGTTGATGGCGTCGCGATACTTCGCTCGGACCGACCAACCGCTCGTGAAATTTCGCCAGAGAGGGTTGCTGTTCTGCCCGCCGACGGCGAGGATGCGGGCAGCGCCGTTGGCGGCTCTGCGGGCTATGCCTGTCAGCCGCTCGAGGTCGATGGTACTGACGCCGTCGCTGAGAAGCACGAGCGCAGGCACGGTCTCCACAAGCACGCCTATAGGCGAGGCCAAGCGATGATGCGATCATACAAAACACCGCGGGCTCCAGGGCTGGCGAGCGCACCTTGCTCAACAGCCTTCTCGTAGAAGGCCTCCACCTGCTGGTCGAAGCCGACAAACAGAATGTTGTTGACGGAGCAGCCGTAGTCCATCCTGTCGGGGTAGCGGCCCTCCCCCTTTGCGCAGCCCGTGTTGTTGGTCGGCTCCCACTGCTTGAGGCTACTCACCGCGCGCGAAATCTGAGAAGGGGGATGGAGGCTCTTACGATGGCAGCAGCGAGGGCGGCACTAAATGTGTAGTGTGATGTGGCACGAAGTGCCTAGTGGGCCCTCGCCTGTTCGTCCGACTCGGCGTCAAAGGGGAAGGCTCTTACGACCAGCTGGGCTTTAGTGGTGTTCTTCAGGTTGTGCTCCTCCGCGGCCACGAGGACGGCTTCGGCGTAGCCGACCCCCTTGTCGCCGCTAACGTGCACCACTGCCCCGTACGTCAGGCCGAGCTTCACCCACAGCTCCACCACCGCCGCCCCGATCGCCGCGTCCGAGGTGATGGTTCGGCCAAAGCGAGGGTAGTCGCGTTTATTGTCCAGCGCGGGCGAGGCCGACTGGTAGGACAGCTGCAGGATGTCGAGGGCACCCGTCAGCGGCGCGATCTCCGTCGACTGGCTCGAACGACCGGGGCCGACCACGCCGTGGAGTGACGTAATCGTACCGCCGGCCAGCAGGAATGCCAGATCCTCCCAAGTCGGCCCTAGAGGAGAAGGCTGGTCGCCGCCGTATCGCACCGCCAGCTGCTGCCAGGCCAGCGAGTCGAGGACGGTGTCAACGACGCTTGCGCCCACATCCCTCGAGTCTGCCAGCGTGACAATGATCCGCTTGTCGCATTCGCCGAGCGTTGCAAACGCGGGCACGCATTTGCCGTCCCGTGCGTTGAAGTCGCGAGCAACGAGGTAGGCGAAGACCGGATACAGCATATAGTCAGGCGTTTCCCAGCACTTGCTGTTGTTCCAGACGTGGCCTGATGCGTTGCAGGTGTCGTAGCTATCAAACAACAAGGTGGACTGCGCAGAGAGAAAGAGCACATTCACTTCGGAAGCGTTTGTTTCGTTGCTCGCGCCGGCGCCCGGCAGCGTGCAGTTTGGGAACTCCTGCTGGGCCCAGGAGACCGCGGCGGAGGAAAGGAGCACCAGCAGCCGCGTCGGCATGCCGCGCGAGACCGTCATCGGCACGGATCCTCAAGGATGGGAAAGGCGGCGGGCGTCACCCACGGAAGCAGACGCCCGAGTGTTGTGCGAAAAAGAATTTTACCGCCGCTCCCGCACAACACTGGCGCGCACTGGCACTAACACAGGTACACCACTGGAGCCGCCTAAGCGACTCCTGCGAGGGTGGCGAGGGAGGCACTTAGCTCCGTGCACCCGCCCACCCCCGCCACAGGCAAGCTCATTCACGACCTGCTCTGCGATGGCCGTGTGAAGAACGACTGAGATGCGCTGCTTCTGCAGCCCCAGCCAGCTCTTGGTGGTCCAAGTCACCTCATCGAGCGATCGAGGTACTTCCTGCATCCTGGGCCCGCGTCAGCTTGTTCTGTAGCACGTCCGCCGCCTTCCGGAGGATCTCACGGACCCCCTTTCCGAACCCGCCGAACGATTCGAACAGCAGCAGCTGCACTTCGACGCCCTTGTCTTCCCTGGCGTAGCGATAGTCCCCGCCGTAGGACGGTATGCGGCGGTCGCCGCCCACCACCCTGCCCCCCCTGGTATGCCAGCGCCCAGTCCCTTGCCCTCTCTCGCCCTTGCTCTTCCTCTCCCCCTCCATGCCGCCCCCCCGGTACCTCTCCCCCTCCCCCCCCCCCCTCCTCCTCTCCCCCCCCTCTCCCTGCCTCCCACCTCCCTCTCCCTCCTCGCAGTAGGGCCCATGCCCCATGACCATGTTCCGGTAGAATGATTCAGTGTTGCCGAAAGCGACAAAAGCGCCCTTCCGACCGTGCTCCCCGCTGCTGCTGAGGGAACAGACGACCTTGACGTCTCCGCAATGTGCGTGCCGTCCTTGCCAATGTTGTCCGCGTCCACGTCGGGTTGTTTGTTGTAACTCTGACCGAGGTGGGCTTTCGGCTCCATTCGCACAGCGGTGCCCCACGCGGCGCGTAGGGCGAGGATGAGGCGTCGAAGCGTGTACTTGTGTCTGGTGTTGTGGCCCTGCTGCGGTACGTTGACAGCAGCGTCTTTTCGTTCCCTCCCCTTCTCCATCGTTGTCGCCTCCGTCGACTGCGGCGCTGTCTCTGCCCTCGCCTCCGTCCTCCTCGTCTCGCCTGCCGTCGTCCCGTGTCTCCTCGTCCTCGCCCTCGCCTTGGCCGTTGTCTACCTGTTCATCGTGTCCCTTGCTGCTGGTGGCATCGCCGTTGGCTTCCTCTCTCCCCCTTTCCTTCCTGCCCCTCTCGCTGTCTGGTGCTAATGGACCCCCTTCCTCTCCCTCGCCACCGTCACCGTCACCATCCCCGTCGCTACCGCCCTCCATGCCCGCCGCCCTTTGTTTCACACTCGTCTCTGCCATGTCCGCCGTCGCCGCCGTCCTGTCTGCTGCGCTCTGTGCTCCGTGGTACAGTCGCTTATTGTTGTTCAGGATTAGCTCGCGCACCAGGACAGCCTCCTGCTCGTTATCTTGGCTTGCCGATATGCATCCAAAGTTCCACGCTAGCTCCTCCTTCGTCACGTCTATCTTTTTGCAGTATCTCGCGAATGCCGTCCGCGCTTGCTGGGGTGTTATTGCGTTCGGATCCGCCCTCGTCCCCGCCCTGTATCCCATCTCCTTGCGGTGGCTCTTGTATGAGTCCCCATATGACCATGTGATTTCTTGGCCTTCCTTGACTCCTCTCTCTGCAAACAGGACCATCACCTGCGCAGCTGCCTTGCCTAATTGTACGATCTCCTCGTAGCGTACGCGAAGTGCGTCGCCCTCGTGCCTCGTTTCGGCTCATTCGATGCTGCAGGCCAGTCGAAATTAATTCGCGCCGCGACGCTGTCAAAGTCGTCCCCGCTCTCGTCGTCACTTCCATCCAGCTGCGTCCCCCCTGCTGCCGTGTGTCGTGACAGGTCCGCGGAGAGTCGTGTGTCATAGGAGAGGAGAGAGTCAGGAGATGTTTTGTGCGGGATCAGGCCCGAGTCCCTAGTGTCGCCGGAGCAGGTAGCTCCCTTTTTCGTAACAGGAACAATTTTTTTCTCCCCCTCACCCCTTCCCCGTGCGCGGGGGCTGCGGCGGCTTTGGGCCAGAGGCTCCGCCCTTGACGTGCTCGCTGCCTCGCTCGAGCGCGGCGGCGAGCTCGTGCACTGCAGCCTCGCGCTGCAGGCTCGGGTCGGGCGGGTTGTTCTGCGCCTCCAGCATCGCCTGCGCCGCAGCCCGAGCGCTCAGCGCTCACGCGCGCGCGAGTGGTGGGCCGGGCTCGGGGGGGGCTGGGGTGAGACCGCAGGCAGCCTGCTTGAGTGACGAGTATGAGGCGACCGCCTGCCGCTCGCGCGTCGCCTGCGGCACGGGGCGCGGCGGCGGGTGAGCGTGCCGGTGCTGAGCGCGTGCCTGAGAGTGGCGATTCGTTCGGTGGGTGGCAGACGGCCCGTTCTGCACCTTCCGGGCGGCCTCCTGCCGCGCCTCGAAGTGCGCAAACATCTGGCTCGAGGTCTGGTCGAGCGCGGCCATCGAGCGGCGGGTGGCCTCCGCCGCGCGGCTCGGGCGCAGATCCTCCGCGCGAATCCTGCACAGCGGGCCGCCACCGTGGTCAACCACGGCGGTCGCAGCTTTGCTGCCGCGGCTGTTTGTGTGGCAAACCTGGTCGACATCGAGAGGAGTTCGTCCTGCCAGGCGAGCTCCTGCCGCGTGCGGCTGAAGAGTCCCAGCCGCACCGCGATCGGTGATCGCACGATGGCGGAGATGAACGAGCGGAGCACCATCTCGCCCGTTCGCGCGGCCGAGAAAAATTCTTTCAAAAGAATTCTTACGGCACGCGACCCATCGGCATGGGCGAGGCCCTCTTCAAGGAGGCGTGGCGCGCGCGCGCGAGCTGGGCAGCAAAGACCATCGGCCCCGTGCTCCTCTGCTTCGAAGCAGATGGCCGTCGGCCTGCCCAGCGGCGGCGAGGGCGTCGCCACGGCGCTGCAGTTGTACTGCGACTCACCCGCGCTCGATAGCCGCGCCATCATCATCGCCCTCGACTACTCCAACGCCTACTCGTCGCGAGCTTGCTCGACTCGTCGGCGCGGGCGACTCTGGACTCTGAAGCTGATCGAATGGGTCAAGCAGCTCGACGACGCGACGCGGGCGCGGCTCGCCATCAAGGACGCAGACGAGGTGGTTCGGGCGGCGGAGGCAGCGCTTGACGACCTCAGACTTCAGGTCTGGTGCAGGCTCCCCCTCTGCAGCCTGCGGGATGGGGGCCGGAGGGAGGAGGTGGGAAGGGCGGCGGTACAAGAGGATATATCGTCACCATATATGGATAATCACACATTCAGCGGTCGCCGTCCGAGACTCAAAATCTAAAGCCGTGTGGCGGATCCTGCGGCCACTACCACAACAGCTACCACAACAGCAGGGTGGCGTCAAAACAGAAGAGAATCAGCAGAGAGTGTCAGAGTACTGGTCACCTACCTGGTACCGTCCCCTGGGGAATGTATCCCCCTGGGGCCGAGCAGCCGGCAGCGCCTGCCCCGTACAAGAGCGGGCACAACGCGCAGCAGCGGCAGCGGTGAAGACCCCTGCCCTCAACACGCCTCAGGCGCGGTCGTGGACGCACCAGTCGAGGAACTTGCGCGCGTGGCCAGGCCGCATGCCGAGCGTCTCCTTTGCGATGGCGAGCACCTCCTCTCGCGGCATCGTCCTGAGGAAGTGAAGGTCATCGAAGCCCTCGGCGAGGCAGCGCTCGAGGTACGCCTCGAGCCCGTGCTGCGTGAGCTTGGCGCGCAGCTCGCCGATGTGGGCGTGCGGCAGCCAACCTCCTCCTCCACCTCCTCCTCCTCCGCCACCTCCGCCTCCTCCACCGCCACCACCGCCCGCCCCTCGACCTCCTCCACCGCCTCCGCCACCGCCACCTCCACCGCCACCTCCCCCTCGGGGAAGCGCTACGCGCCCCTCCGCGGCTGCAGACGGCCCCGGCAGCGCGGCAAAGTCTGCCGCTGGCGGACTGGCCGCCGCCGGCGCCGTCGCCTTCTTGCGCTTGCTGCGCTGTACCGTCTTGGCCGCCTCGCCGCCGCCGCAAGCCTCGCTGGCTGCGCTCTGCGCGGCGCTGCGCTTTGCGCCCCCGCGCGGCGCGTGGGTAACCGGGAGCGGCCGCCGCCAGTCGCTGCCCTCATCCGCACGCGAGCACCACTCGAGCCACTCCTCGTCTGGCGCACCTGAGACATGGGGAGATATGGCGAGATACGGGGAGATGCTCGATCGCCGGGCGCGTCATCTGTTGGTCATTGTCAGCAGCGGCAGGGGCAGAGGCTGGTAGGGTTTGGGTACTCGAGTGGTGCGGGACTCGAGGCGGGAAGGGCTGGGGCTAGAGGCGACAGCGCGCCCGACGGCAGGTGCACGCACACGAGGAAACGGCCGTCGGCGACGTGCGAGCGGACGTCCGCCCTCCGCCACTCCTGCCCACCCCCCGCCGCCTCCACCTCCACCTCCACCTCACTGCCGAGGAACGGGGGCCTCCACCGCTCACCGCCCGTTCGCTTGGCGTCGGCGCGCTGCAGCAGCACCTGTCGCGGGCGTGTCGTGGGCGTGTGTCGTGGGCGTGTCGCGGATGTGTCGCGGGCGTGTCATGGACATCACGGCTCGCGTCGGCGCGCTGCAGCTGCACCTCGTGGAGCGAGCCATATCTCCCCACATCTCCCCATATCTCGCCATATCTCGCAGCAGCACCTCGTGGAGCGAGCCATATCTCCCCACATCTCCCCATATCTCGCCATATCTCGCAGCAGCACCTCGTGGAGCGAGCCATATCTCCCCACATCTCCCCATATCTCGCCATATCTCGCAGCAGCACCTCGTGGAGCGAGCCATATCTCCCCACATCTCCCCATATCTCGCCATATCTCGCAGCTGCACCTCGTGGAGCGAGCCATATCTCCCCACATCTCCCCATATCTCGCCATATCTCGCAGCAGCACCTCGTGGAGCGAGCCGAGAGAGCGGATGGCGCCGCCGTGCGACGCGAAGACGGCACACTCCTTCGGCT